CACCAGGCGAGTCTGGTAAGCTACATTGATGGACATTCTTTTGTTTGTTGTTGTTTTCGTTGTATGAACTTTCTGACGGTTTCACCGATGTGATATCATATACGACCTATTCGATCTGACTGGTTTGATCATTAGAAAGATGGCATGGCTTTATGGTACCACCTGAAATCAGTATCGTGAATACCACTTTGTTATGAATACAATATGGATCCTGATTGAGCGTGAGAACAAGTATGAATATGATGAATACCGCTTTACTCGTCTAAGGAGAGACGTACATAAGCTGAAAGTGAAGGCGAAAGCATGGTTAATATGAAGCGATAATGTGAACACAAATGATATTCATGACATGCACCGGGGCCGTTGGATTGTGTGTAGAGAGGGATAGCTGCGACACAGGCACTGAATGAATGATTGTAAAAATCCACCAAGGTTTAATGATAAGTGTGATCGAGCTTGTCGTTTTCTCAAAATGTAAGGCCGCGTATGCTGCCGGAGCCTGGCTAAATCAGGGAGTCATATGTATTTGGAAATGCAGGTGCATCGCCCGGGCACGGGGGTGAGACTGAAGTATGATCGGTTTTGTGTTGTGTTATTGAGCGGAGGCGCGTTCAAGTCACACACACACACAGAGAGAGAGAGAGAGTGTGTGTGTATGAACGCCATTTCCTTCACTGGATGAGGTACGCGTGAACTCGTTGACATGTATGCGATCACCACAAGGAGCGAAATGGCGTACGGATACAATGCCTTCTTTTCCGCCGGGAAAACGAACATGTGGATTGCAATTCATAAGTTCGACTTCCTCAAAGACGGGTACATACTTTGAGGCACGGTCATGTCTTTTCAGTAAAACAGGTCCCCCTAATAGTTAGCCAAGTAGGTGTAAACAAACCACAGGAGGACATCAAACCGAAACATTCGTTCATGTGGAGTGGCATTCGTGGAGACAGGGAAGGGGCCGTATAGAGTGGAGGGCATGTGATAAATCAGACTCCCAGTGATGTATTTGAAGGCCTTTCGTTTTGAGTCTGAGCTGGATTGCGTTCCAGAGGCGTTTGACTTGCCCGTTTCCATGGGATTCTAAACAGTTGTTCGGCTGGTGCAAACTCTGTCATGTAGGAATGTGATCAGTTCGTCAGATACGAATGAGGAGGCACGATCCGAATGTACATATGCAGGCATAGCAAACAAAGATAATAACTCATATAGACATCTAATAACCGTCGATTCACATGTATCTGCGCAGGGAAAGGCAAACGGAAAACGGGTAAACTCGTCAACGATGGTAAGGAGATATCAGTTTCGAATAGCAGATGGTAAAGGTCCTTTAGAATCGATGCCGATTCTTTCGAATAGTTGGGTCGCTTTGCTGAGCGTAGCGGAGGCTGGTTGGTAAAGCTATGGTTTGTTGGCGGCACAACCCATACATTTCGTGGTGACGTCTTTAACATCTTGGATGGAAAAGCAGTAAGTTTTTGGAAAGAACAAAGTGATGCATACGTGTAATTCCGGGATGACACAAGGAATCGTGAATTTCTTTTCATTTATCATTGCTGATCACGTTTGCGCATAGGTTACGCGATAAGGTGTCAGCCACCAGACTGTCCTTCCCAGGTCTGTGACTGACATCGTAGCTAAAGGCGGGGAGTTTCATCTTGCATCACTGGATTTTGTCGTCTTTTCGGTAGTCCCACAAATAGTGACGTGGACATAAGCGTAGGTGCCGTTTAAGTTCTCAGACTTGATTATATGGTCAGTAGTACGTTGAAAGCATGCTACTCCATTGGTGCCACCGAAAAGAATACAACGGCACTAAAGCAGTTCTCCGCATGCTTCAAAAGCCGTGCACGGTTCATCTTTTCACTGATTGGAGCTTGATGGTAAGCACTCAATAGGCATAAAGTGCTTAAGACAGCATGACGGAAATTTTCTTCATTCATTTTATCCAGTCGTGGTAATGGATAAGCGTCTAGGTATGTGAACCGATCAATGGTTTGACTGTTGTCCACTACCATGCATCTTTTGTGGTTTAGATTCTTCGTGACCATTAGTTGAGCCCTCCATGGAGAATTCGAAGGTTCAATCATACCTTCATCCAATAGTCGGTTAACCTCAGAGCGAATGAACAGTTCATCGTCAGGGCTATAACGTCGTGATTTCGTAGCGATATGTTTGCAATCGGGTGAGAGGTTAGCAAAAAGAGGCAGTGATTCAACCGTAGCAGCAGGTAGACCGCAGAGGGTGAATGGACCTCGGTTCCCACCGAATGTGACTTCAACTTTATGTTGACCAAGGAAGTCTTGACCTAGCAGCATGTCAGCACATAGATCCGGTGACACCAATATTTTGATTTTTCTTATAAACACTACCCCTGTAATCGATGGATACGTAGCAGTAGCCTCTAGTTGAACAGGTCAGAGAGTTAGATGCTATGGTAATCACAGGATTGTTAGCATGTATCTTCCAGCAATGTGTACGAACTACCAAAGGAGATGTATAGCTGCTCGAACTTCCTGTGTCTCTGAGGGTCTGAAGCGATATTCCGTTCACCTTTATGCTCGTCTCTGAGGGTCTTTATGCTAGTCACCGTGCGGAACAAGCAGTTCGGGATTGCAGCAGTCAACAGGGAAAATATTTAAAATATCGTTCAGCGTGCTTAGCCGCCATGCTACCCGAAGGAAGCAGGAGGGTTGGGATACTGCCAGGTTGCCCAAGCCTAGACAGGGGAAGTCGAGAGGCAGAAATCGTGTTCGAACCACGGACAGGGAAGATAAGACAGAATCCGTTGTGCAGCTTGAGTGATGTTTTTCACAGATTTGGATCGATAAATACGCTGAAAATGACCTGTTTTGTCACGATTTACAAACTGCTTCGCGTGCGGGGTGTTTGGGCCGTGCATGCCTGAAACGACCACAAAAATAACATGTCTGAGAATTGGTTGACGAGAGATAAGGTGTAGGATCAGAAGGGATTGAGTGTGAAGGGGCAACCGTAGATACCTGTGAAGATGCTGTCGCTGCTGAAATGGATATCGTTTGGTTATGCGAGTATGACTGAGCTTGTTTGTGGGCCAGTTCTAATAACCTAGCCAATTCATATGCTTCATTGAGAGTGTTTTCATTTTGAGACTGAAGTCCGTTGGTCAGAGCATTCCGTACACTTTCGTTTTGATGGTCAACGGAGGACACCGCCTTGAACGCACAATTTTTGGCCAAGAATTGAAGCCTCTGAATAAACTGGCCGATATCCTGACTGGTATATCGTTTGCAAGTTTTTAGATGACGATCGTGAATTATATTATTAGGACGAGTGTACAAATTTTCCAGTGTACTGATAGCGGATCCGTAATCTGGACAGTCCGATGAAAATGTTTACAAGTGCGTCCACAAAGTGGATCAAGGTTTCGAGTTTAGTTAGATTAGGCGATTCGACATTGCCCAGAAACGCTTGGAAGTTTCGGAACCAACGCTTTGTGGCGTCTGGAGAATTTGTTCTGTATCGAAATACTCGGGTCATCATCATCATCATCAAAGACAGCAGCTGAAAGTGAAGGCGAAAGCATGGTTGAAACGAAACGATAATGTGAACATAAAGGATAGCCATGACATTCGAGGTTGTGGAGTGTTTTACGTGTTTTAGGGGTTATATTGTTTCTCATTGTCGTGTGCTATAGGAGGTCAATGCACGAACATGCAAGGCTCGGGTCACGTTTGCGAATTTGGGACACCTATGGCGTCAAGGTGGTGTACCGGTTAATCTTAAGGGACGTATTCATCAGGCTACAGTATGGGCTATTTCACTGTACTACTGTGTGAATCGGCCTGTTCGAGCAGTGGAACTGAGTTGTCTCCCGGTCTTCGATAACTGTTATCTCAGAACCACAACTCACATAGCCTGGTGTCGACTCGTCCGTAACGAGGCAATTGGAAAGCGAATATTCTTTTGTGAAACGCGGTTTCCATTGAAGAATGTGTCCAGCAGATGAAGCTGCGTTATTTAAGCCATGTATTGCATATGCCTAGCTATTGTTTGCCGGAGGGAGTGCTGGCCAACGCTCTACCGTAATTAGACGTATGAAAGATATTACGAAAATTCTGGGTGCTATCGTCTCATCTTTCCTTCCAGGGTATGAAGCGGCTAGGCACACAGCCTGGTTGGGGACACTGTAGGCTATGGCTGTTGATCGATATTAATGGCCTTCTTGTTGTCAGTTTCTATCCAGATTGCCTGAATGAGTGTCTAGAAGTGTAGGCACCTTCGAATGATTGTGGTCAGGTGGCACTAAGTCCCTTCCCCGTCTACTTTTATTCTTTTTTCCACAATAAGGCTCTCAAATAAATCATGGATGTACAGCAGCGAAGCATCAGTGTTGAATCGAGATGTCATACTGTCGGTAGTGATGGTGATCGTGAATACCTTATTGGAAACACTAATTCTCATTTCTTTTTTAGCGATGGCAGACGTTATGTTGGCCGAAAAGCGACCTAAGATCACCAATGGACTCACCCACCCACATGCTGTATTGAAGTTTGTTAAGCTATCGGAACATGCAACCACTCCCACAAGAGGGTCTCCACTAGCTGCTGGTTATGACCTCTATGCTGCACACGATACTGTACTTCCTGCCAAAGATAGAGGATTGGTGAAGACAGACATTCAGGTTTGTGAATCAATCAAACTTTCCATGTTCTTCATTTCAATCGTTCCATTCCACGAGGGTCATAGGCGATTACGTCACTCTTGTAACGCAGCCATTAATTATTTCGGTGTTTTTCGCTTCACTTCTAACCAGCTTAGGGCTGGATGCACCATAATCGATGACGAATCCATACTTTGGTTCATTCAAAGCCTTAACTCTAGCATCTGAAGGTTTTTAGTGGACGGCCGGATTGGATGCAAGTGCAACATTTATCTTCCCATAGCTGTTGATTTTTCCGGAATCCTTGTTCTCCAGTGAAATTTAACTTCTGTCCCTGCTCACTTGAGCAACCATCTTTATAACGGAACCTTCAAGCCTCCCAACTTCTCGGCTTTCCTATCATTACCCGACTTTTTCACTGTCCATCGAGTGGTGCTATCGAGACAGGGATGGCAGTACTGATTAGGAACGAAGCCATTGGAAACAAAACCGTGCAGTAATTCTATTGGTAAGCTGATCCAGCTTCCATATTAAACTGAAGAATTTTTTGATGATGGGAAGTAACCTTTGCGAACCGTAAAGTCAGGATGTGTTGAAAGTCAGTGGATGCCCACAAGCAACTTTATCTCCATAAGTTGCAACGTCAGTGTGGATATTTGAGATAGTTCAGAGGTTACGGTGCCGTCTTAAAAACTGGCAGGTAATAATAATGTAACAATCATTCAGCTGTAACACCTTTTCGGTGCCCAGCTGCCATGTCACCCGAAGAAAGCACAAAGGCTGGGATACTGCCAAGTTGCCCAAGCCTAGACAGGGGAAGTCAAGAGGCAGAGGTCAGTAAATCCGCTCTAACCACTTGATTCGTCTCGCTTCCAGTAGAAAGCTCGATTACATCACAAAGAGCAACGAACTCGCCAGAAATTATAGCAACCAGTTGCCCCTCATTATCTTAAGAGCACTGGTTGTCGTTTATCTTGGACATCCGTCTCGCTTCCAGTAGAAAGCATAATGTTAGTAAGCTCGATTACATCACAAAGAGCAACGAGCTCGCCAGAAATTATAGCAACCGGTTGCCCCTCATTATCCTAAGAGCACTGGTTGTCGTTTATCTTGGACGCTCCCATTAAAAGAAATTTCTGAAATACGGACTCAGCACTAGTAGTTATCTCTTTTTGTATGGCCAATGCGAAACTGAACCCCTTCTGTAACGTACATACCACTTGATTGTCTTTCTGGTGAGTTCACTGGGGCGAGATGGCCCAAGTGGTTAGAGCGCGAATTTACTGACCGGAAGGTTCGTGGTTCGAATCCGACCTCCGCCACTCGACTTCCCCTGTCTAGGCTTGGGCAACCTGCCAGTATCCCAGCCCTCGTGCTTCCTTCGGGTGGCATGGCAGCTAGGCACCGGAAGGGTGCTACAGCTGAACGCTGGTGAGTTCACTACCTTGTAGTAGCTAGTCGACGGGTTACAAGGACGCAGGGTCTTGGGAGGCAATTTTTGAACTGACGCATTTGTCTGTATTTATGGTGTTGACCTTTAGGCGATTTACTTCCATCCCTTTGATGTGCAGTAGTTCTGCGGGTGCCGCTCGCGTCGTACGCCAGGTCGCGTCACATGCAAATGGCTGGTAGAGGCCTCCTAGGAGAATACCGTATTTAGTCCAGAACCATTAGTGATTTTGTGCTCTGGATTTTCCGCCACAAGCATTATCTGTTAAGACTTGTTGGCCACGGTGCTTCTTAATCACCCTCTCAGTGCTTTGTAACCATTGTTGGCGTTTCCCTCGCATCACCCCTATACATTTTGGTCTCATTTGGTACCATACTTGCGAAGGCTCCGGGTTGGATAGGAAAGTCCCTCTCAAACCACCGAAGATTAACGAAGATCAGCTTCGTGCTATCCGTATGCTTCAGCGTACCTTGCGTATGCTATGTTTCACTCTTAGTTCGTGCAAAATTATTGTGGAGTCTACAACTATGAGTTATCAGCCGTTTCTCTATTAACTTCTCCTTCACTCAGATTGCACTTCCTGATGGTTGTTACGGTCGGGTAGCTCCCCGTAGTGGCCTGGCTCTCAAGCACGGCATCGATGTTGGTGCTGGTGTGGTCGATCAAGACTATCGTGGTAATGTTGGAGTTGTCCTGTTCAATTTCGGCAACGAGGACTTTCAGGTGAGACCCATATCTGGATTGGCCCAGGCCACTCCACCGTAAACTTGCTTGTACCCTTTCTCCCTTCCTAAGTTTCTCACGCATGTTGTTTGCTGATTTCTTCGGTTGGATTTAATTCCCACTATTCACTTGGCGGGGGGTCTTCGATCTTCGCGAGTAATTCAGAAACAGTGGCCAACTAGTGACATTTAATAGTATAACACTCTTTTGGTGCGGAGCTGCCATCCCACCCGAAGCAAGCACGAGGACTGAGATACTGCTACCCGCTTGACAGTCCACTGACAATGCTGTATTTGAGCACCAATTCATCAGGTCCCGCCTCCAATACGCATCTATCTACCCCACCTCCCCAAACCATCGGTGAACGAAACTGTGGCAGCTACAGCCACTGTACGACAAGTATGTGGTTCTTATAGCTGACAGTGATGATAAGACAGGAGCAGCCGAAATGTAGGGATCGGGTTCGAACCGCAATCATCATCATCATCAAAGACAGCAACATCAGTGTTGCCACTGATG